ATTAGTTCTTGCTGGGTACTGTGCTTATTTGAGCTTGTGATGCACTGGTGTCATATAGGCACCAGTCCCATGGGGGCTGGTGGGCAGACAGGGGCCTACCACTGTGCTTCTACAGGAGTTTGCAAAAGTCCGCTTTGATCCACTTAAATTTTGTGTGGATCTGTGGGCCATTCCGGTCACAACCAACTTTCCCTAGATCCTGGGCAACCTGATGGTAGTTGAAGCAGGAAGGCAGCCAGCTACTGGCCACCATTGTGTCCACCCAGTCAACATAATTAGTTGCAGCATGACCTGACCTTGTTGGACATCCAGAACATTCTAGTCCAGGAAGACATAGTCTCCTGGAGCAAGTAGGGATTTTGTGAGCTCACAGCAACATGGCTAGGAAGAACAATCCCTACAGTATGCAGTGTAGTGCTGCATGCAACTTTGAATCTGTTCCTGTTAAACTACTAAAGAATGTTGGATCAATGGCATGAACACAGAACACAGAACCAATTCAAAAAGTTTCTGTTGCACCAGTTAGCAGAGGCCTCATATGCAGCCAATGACACTTGTGGTGAGGGAAGACTGCCCAACAACCATTCACACCCCTTGGCAAAGTGTGAAGTGCTGATATCTGAACAGGGATGTCAAGAACTCTTGTTCCAGGTGTGCATCAAGGGTAGAACTCAGGCACCTTCTACTGTCTAGCATCAGCACAGGATGCCAGCTCCAAGACACAGCCAGGCAGATTTGTTGTACCTTTCACTGAATTAATAGCCTGATTCATTCTGACAATGTGGAATTGGTTGTAGCTGAATCTAGGATTCCTTAAGACCCACCTTAATTGCACTGCACTCGTTATAAGTGCACACTTACTGGTACTAGTACAAATTACTAATTGCTATCATCATTGGAATTTGGAAACCTCAGTTCTGTACTTTTGCTTGACTCTCAAAGCCCCAATTGCAAAACCAGAATAAACTCCAATTGGGCCAAACAGGATTACACTTTTTCACTGTTAGTTGATCCAAAATGGTTGGTACTCTTGTGCAAGAGTTTGAGTTTCTGATCCTGAAATGCAAACCATGCACTGTAGCCAAGTCAAGATGTGCAATAAACTACAGAATCATCTTTCTGGATGTATATAAAAACATGTACACACATTCCTGTAAATAGAGAACCAAAATATAAGACACTTTAGTACTTTTTCCCTAAAGATAGTTTTTTAACAAAGAACATCCTTGAGAAAGAGCATTAAGATAAGGTATCTCCCATCCAAGACTAAAACGATATACTGTTCCTCTGCCCAATTCTATAGCAAGTTTGAACAAAGCCTGACATTTCAGCAGAACAGCAGGCTAATTGTATCTCACCTTAATTACATTTAGTATAAGCCCACTGAAACCAATTCTGATTTATTTCAATAGATCTGCTCAAAGTACAACAATCAACCATATACTGTAATAATTGAATATAATATATAATACAATTTATATTGTTCTATCTATCTATCTATCTATCTATCTATCTATCTATACAAATAATATAACCACATATTATAATAATATATAATAACAGCAAACACTTATTTAGACTTATAGGTCCACCCAAAAAGATAATTCACAAATGGACAAATGGGAAATTATGGGAGTATTTCATGCTAAGGCTTAGAGAGAAGTTTTCTGATGTTTAAACTAAAACAAATAATGCAGATATTTTATTTTTAGTTAGTAGACACCATTTTCAAGGAGACAATCCATGTTGCTACAGGAGATTTATGGATAAACCACATAAAAGCTTGAGTTGTAGGTCTAGAACAAATTTCTCAAACTTGATACCTCCCACATGCCTTAGGCAACAATTCCCAGATTTGTCAGCGGATACAGTGTTAGGGAAAGATGTTCCAGGCTTGTAAGAAAACTAAGCTTATGAACCACCCAGAAACTTACAAAACCACTTTTATGCAACTCTTAAATGGATGAATTCATGTTCTTGTATTGTTTCTATTCCCTCCAAACGTGAAAGAGAGTTGCAAATTTTGACCAAAGATAAAATGAAATTAAGTAGCAGTATGACGACCTGTTCAGACACATTATACAAAGACTCTAATGCTGAGAAATGTTGAAGGAAAGAGGACAACCAGCAGAAGGTGGATGGATTCAGTTACAGTGGCAATGGTGCACCATTGGAAAACCTGAAGTACCAGATGAGGGACAGATCATGGGAAAAATCTATTTTGACATGAAGAGTCAACACCAACTAATCATTCAGTCATGACAACCTCAGTAAGCACACACATTGGGAAGAACACTGTCTATTACTTCTGGTAATTGAGGTACTGGGGAGGACTGATGGTTGACCTTATGGAAGAATCAAATACTGAGATAAAGAGGAAATGAAATCTCTATCTGGGAGCCTATGGCTCTTTTAATTAATAATAATTTCCTTTACTCCCCTCCATAAATATATAACCAACTCTTTAATTACTTAACAAACCCAAGTTTATTAAAGCAACGTATCAGAAGACAATAAAAAAATGGAACATCTCTATTAAAGAATATGCATATTGTTATCACAGACGCCATATTGTTTCGCCATCTACAAAGAAAACAGGTTCTGGGAGACTATATATTTTTTCTAAAGAGCTGTCTTTCTCATTTTAAAGTCTCTATCTGGAAAATGTCCTCAGAGGTACTGCTGCATTATATATAAAATGGTCTCTCCCACCTTCTAATATCTACAGCTCTTTTGAGAGGCCAAGCCATCTCTTTACCATGTTTAGGATCTCCCAAGCTAACAAGAGCACATCCTGCTCTTTGCAGGAAGAAAAGGCCTCATTAGGAATGGTGGGTAAAGCATGATATTTGGGATATTGTGTAATCTTGTCATCTACACCATGCTTCCTGAGCACAGCTATCTGCTCAGGAAGCTTAGCCAGATCACATCCATAAGATGCTGCCTGGTCAGCTAGCTTTGCAAGAGAGAGATTCCTCTCAAAGCATCCTCCCTGGTTGTACTCAACTGCTGTCAGGGTCTTCTCCATAGCCCGGAAAGTCATATACAGCAACCATTCAGGGCTGCGATTTTCAGCAATGCTGGCTGCTGCCTGCAGATCGCATTCTGCTTGCTGGAGCCAACGCTTTGCCTCTAGGAAACGGTGATTTGATAGTGACCTTGAGGAGTTCGGTCCACGTCGATGGTATGACCAGAAATCATAAGTGCTGCACCCACCACCACCTCCAGCAGACCTTTGGCTGGTGAATTCATAGTGCCTCTGCTGATGCTGATAAGCTTGCTGATCCCATTCGCTCCAACACTCTGAGAAGTTTCTGCCACAGGAATTGCTACTTTTGGGTCCTCCACTGGAGCCATTTGACTTCCTTCTGTTCTCCATCTCCTCACTCTTTCTTTTAAGATACTTGAAGAGTTCACCAGCGGAATCTTCTTGGCCGAGATTTTTATCTGGATGGTAACATAGATATAATCTTCTAAGGGCTTTCTTCCTCTCCTCCTCTGACAGTCTCCAAATCTGAGCGAGGCATGCATCTATCTCTTCCTTGACCTCGCTCAGTGGCCGTTGGTGCCAATACTTATTAATATCTGATCTTACTGTTTGGGCAGCATCGGTGGAATTTACTGCCAGCATTAGAGTTTTATTTGAATCAGAGACTGGCTTATTTCTCTTGAAATGGTAAAGGTCATAAGCACTGACTTCTTCTTGCCGACCCCCTCCCAAGTCAATACGATATGTGGGTATTTGACCACTACCACTCTTCTGTGGCTCAAGTACTTCACGGACAACAGCATAAAGGTAATGCTCTTTGGGCTGGGAAGAATCCAGATAACCCACATAATCTCCCTTCACAAAGGTATGCAGAATGTTCATATCCAGGCTGTCATACCATTCCTCAGGGATGTCTTCTCCTGGAGGAGGAAGGTCATAAGCATTTAGGTTGCTCTGCTGATGCAGGGGCACTCCATTTCTCTCTAGGACTCTACCAATTTTTTTAGGTCCCTGGCAAACCAAAATCTCCCTGAGGATTCCCATGGTAAATTCATCAAGTTTTTCTCCCAAAAGCTTATTAACTTCAGTGGCTAGAATATTGGATATATGTACTCCCTCTCCCAGATCCATGCTTTCCTGGTGAGTAAGGTAAATCTTTGTCTTGTCATCCGGCATTTTTGCAACATGCACAGTCTTGACATCTTGAGTTCCCTTTAAAAGTTGCTTGTTGTAGACCTTTACAGTGCAGAGCGTCTCACAGCACACCACTTCTAGCTGATCTGGTGAGAACAGTCCATCACTCATCGATTCTAGCTCCTTTGTTCTACTCTGCCATTTCAATAGTGTAATCAGAGCATTCTGGAATTCAAGAGAAACTAGAAGTTCGGTGAGATTGTTCCGGAACTCACAGTGTTCCTGATAGGTGCACAGTTTCAGAGAGGACTCTTCTAACTGTTCTTCAACAATGTTATAGAAATACCTGGGGCGCAGGTTTTCAGGTAGCAAGCACAGAACTTTCCACTGCTTATACTTGTCCTCTGTTATGGAACATTCAGAGAGATTGACCAGAAAGTGAAGTGTGCTTTTCAAGGCAAGGGGTTCTTGGCCAGATTGATACAAACTAAACACTAAAGTATTTGATGGATATAACTTCCCATCAATGCAAGGGAGATAAAGTTCTTGCAGCTCTGAGAAATCCACTGGCTTTTCTGCTTCTTCCAGCAGCTGGAAGAGAAACTGAGTAGCCCTGACCACAGCTCTAGTGAGATTGGGATGCAGTTTCACCCGCTCTGTAGTCTCTTCCTGAATCCTGGACAGAACACTGGCATAATGATGGATGGTTGGCTCAGTTTGCACTCCACATTTCTCAAAGAAATCTATATATGTACCTAATTTTGATGGCAGCATGTAGAGGTATGGCCGAAGGTCACTTGAGCATTTTAAGTGGATCACCACATTTTCTGCCTCAACTACTTCATTATCATCTGTCAGTATCACAGGAAGTCCTCTAAGGCAATTCACATCTATTTCTCCCTGTTCTGACAGGAACCTGTACATGAGTTTTAGAACATTTGCCCGAGTTTTCTTAGCTTCTGGTGTATCACAGGTTACTTGACATACATTACTCAAATTTTTCAAGACCACTTGGGTAGATACTGTGCATAACACTCCAAGCTTTTCAAGAACAGCCTTTTCTTCTTTCCCGACATATTCATTAGAAGAGAAAGCAACTGCTGAAGTCCAAAATAGTGCTACATTTGTGGTACTGTACAAAGTACCTTGGGGTGCCACTGGAGCTTTGCAAGGGACGTATGGCGAATGAAGGCAACACAGTTCATCAGGGATGACTCGTGGTACAAGGAAACGCATCTTGGACAATTTTTTCAGGAAGGAATTAGACAGCTCAGCTTTTGGTCTGGAAAACAGATAACTCAAGAGTGCTTTACTTGTTTCTCGGACACTTTGGGACATGGTACCACTACTTACTGCCTCTTGTTCAACTTGGGCTGCACAGTTCAAAAAATCTTCCTCAGAAATCACCTTCTGCAGGCCCACATCCAATAAAAAAAAGTACACTTCCCACTTTCTGCCTGGAAGCACTGAATCATAGAATTTCTTTGGTACAAATCGAGAGGCCAGTCCCAACTCTTGAAAAATTGGATTATCCTCATAGAAGTATGATACAGGACGCAACACATTCTCCTTATCCCGGATGAAGGCAAAAGACTGGAACATCGACACCACATCTGCTTTCTGAGCCTCATACTCTTCATTATAGTCTGACTTGATGGTAAGGAGCAACTTCAAGGCCTCCAGTACTTGGGCCTCAGGAAAACAGCGTACCCTAGGCAAGAGCAGCAGCATGAACTGTTGTAAATCATTCATTTCTCCAATACCCAAGCACTGGCTGAGACTTTGATTCAGACAGTTGTCCATCAGTAAAACAGTCCTTGCATCCATTTCATAAAGTTCCTTAAAGTCCTTAGAGATCTTTGGATTTTTGGATACCAGACGATACACCTTTTCATATGAAACCAGTGACACATATTTTCCTTGATACGTCTCAAACACAGGCAAAGCTTTCAGTTTCCCTAATAATGCTTGATTATTCTCCAACTTTTCCAGATCCTTACTGAGGAACCTCAAGAGTGAAGAATAATCCCATGACTTGAGTTTATTCCAGCATAGGCCACTGTGGGCAGACAGTTGCTCCAGCACTACAGTAGGGTCTTCTATCGAGAGCAGCTGTGGCTCAATGCAGTATATTGTAAGCTTTGGAGGCAGCAGGGAATTATCTATTTTGGCAAAGCCTAGCCCATCAAGAATTTGACAAACAGAGCTTTGGCTGTTAGGCATGACTGTGCCAAGGGACTCAAGAGGAATCAGCTCACAGGAACCACACACAGGGAGCAGCGTGCATCCTTTGAAGAGGGAAATGAACTTTGCAAATAGCTCGTTCATTTCCTCCTTACTCTCAGGCACACAGATTTGATTTTCAAAGAACTTCCACACTTCTCTTAACCAACTCCTCTGGCAATTGCTATCATAGCCCCTGATACCCACCGTCAGCATCTCCTGGATGTAAGCCACAGATTCATCAAGAGTAAAATCCTTCAGGAACCCCATTTTTAATAGAAGCTGCTTGGTTTTTAGATTGCCATTCGCACAGGCAGAAAAGTAGTGCTGATGCTGTGGGAAAAGTGTATAAGCACTGCTCTGATAGACAAGCTCCTGCTGGCTGAAACATCTCAGCATGTCATCTTGGGTCACCAGTAATGGGAGTCCTTCCACGCAGGTCACGTCATTGGGACACAATCCACTGAGAGAGAAGTTTAGGAGAGCTGAGCAATTGGAATGATGCTTTACAGGAGTTTCATTAAGTGGGCATGGTAAGGAGAAGTTGGGCAGATTTTTCAGGAAACAACAGAGGGAAGGAGAATCAAGGGTCAGGACTTCAATTTCTGCCATGAGAAATTGGTCACGTATTTTTTGTAGGTGTTCAAAGGCAGGGACCAAGCTCATACCCAGCTTCTGAAGAGTGCACTCAAGAATATTATTCTCTATTATATTCTGCAGAAAATAGGGGCCTCTGGTAGAGTCATCTACTTTGGGTGCACTCCAACACACACTTATCACTTCAATTCTATGACCATTTTTGTTATTAATATTTTTCTGATATACTGGCAACAATGGAAGCTGGTCTTTGTATACCAGTTTATACAGATGGGTCATTAGCTGCTGCCAGACTGGGGATACATCCTTGGTCACAATTGGGAAATATTGTAAATACTGCAAAAGTTCATCCTGGCATGTCTTCAGATTGTGGAATTTCAATGGCACGCTCCCCAGTGTCTGACACAGCTTTTTAAGTAACTGGCCATATAAAGGGGCCAGAAGAAACTGCATTAGTAACCTATTCCATGTTGAACTGACTTCTCCTTCGCCACTGTCTTTCCGCAAGTCACGCCGAGCTGAATCAACAGCAAAGTTCCCATTGACGTGGATGGGAAGACCTGTCTTTCCTGGCAGAGGCAATGTGCAGAAAGCCCTCCCAGGTGGTTGACTATCAAGACAAGCAGCCACACCGCCATATGGCAGTAGCATGCCCTCTATAGTCTCTGTGCTGTCCATCCCAATTTGCCTACCAACCAACCAGATGCTGGGATCACTGGAGAGATTATTCTTGATCTTCATTTTGTAGAAAACTCTTACTGGCTTGCCCGTATCCATGCCCCCTGCTGCAGCTGCCTGTTGCAAATGTTTCTGGTATTCTAGCCTTTCAGGCTCCCCTCCTTCAATTTCAACCCGCAGCAACTCCTTTGGTTTCTTGTCTTTCTCACTTATAACAGAGAAAATTACAGAGCGAATGTGATTGAGGAACATCAGGAGGCATTCTGCATCTTCTTGAAGAGCCTCCAACATGTTTTTCATATCTATCTCAGATACCGAATTCTGGCAAATACGGGAGGTGGCCGCACCTGCAGGAGTACGCAGGGGCAACCGGAAAAGTGTACCCTGTTCCAGCTCAAACACATTAGGCAAAAAGGTGTCATAAACATCCAAAAAGGCATCTCTGAAATCTTTAGTGACGTTGTACTTTGCACCCGGTGAGACCTCATCAGATTCTGGGAGGTAATGCAACATGGGGTCAAAGACACATAGTGTTCTATCCCCTGTAAGGAAAGCAGGGCAATCAGTCAAATGGAAAACAGTGTTGAATCCCAGACCATATTTTCCTATAGCATCACGCTTTCCTCCTTTGCCACCGCGGCCTAAGCGCTGGATCCCCTCAATGTCGCTCATTTGGAAGGTCCGGTCATTATACACACAGAGGGCTGGACCTTGAAGAGTGCTCCACTCATCACTGAAAATACGCTGTGTTGGATGTTGGCGGCGATCCCAAAGGAAGTGGATGACACTTGCACCAGCGTCATCGGCATTCTGCAGCAGCTCTTTCAGCACATCCTGTGAAGAGGAATAGTCATGGAGGATGTTAGCTAGGCGGGTACACAGGTCCTCCTTAGCTCCAAAATCTGTGGCCCAAGGAGAAAGCTTCTGGATCCGTCTCAGGGACAGGATACGGTGCTTTGTGGTTGATATGCCGCAGCGCACAGCAACTTCTCGTGGGATCATAGAATGGCAGAATGGTGTTCCACTCTCATGTGGAAGCCACGGAGTATCATTGAAAAGCAGCTTGGGCAATTTTCGTAGGACTTTGTCCTGGTCTGGGAAAAACATCTTCTGGGACAAATAAGAATCCAGTTGTTGATTCTCTGGCAAAGCTCCAGCAAGCCCTACCGTGATCAACCTAAGTACAGTGTTCAGCTGCTCTACAGAAAGACACCGTCCATCTGCATCTTCAGCCAGGGTTTGCAGGACAGAAGCATAATCATCCACCCTAAACATGTCACGCAGACCCACACACCTCCATAGATCCTTTTGTTGCTGGTATTCATCAGGCAATTGGAAGAGGTATGGAGTAGCATCAAAACTCAGATGATGAGCCACTTTACCCACTGGCACAAAGCTAGCACCTACCAGGATGAAGGGGAACTTTTGTGCCCATTGGGCCACCTCCATTATACTTTGATTGTTCTGAACCACTTCATTGAGAAACGCATAGCAATTTTGTGCCATCTTAGCCAGCTCATTCTTGGAGAGGGCGTTGGAACAAAGGGATGCTCTCTCCAGTTGCTTTAGCACTGTAGCTACTGGTGGTTTGCGATTCAGTCCTAGGAATTCCATTATCTCCTTAGAGAGCTTGGAGCTTTTCTCAAAGGCTTCTTTGTCCAGGATTGGTTCAGTCAAATGCACCAATGAATACATCTTGTAGTGGTAAATTTCACTGGGGCAGCAGATTTTGCGCAAATTCCCAGGAAGTACTGCTGGTAAAAAGGGAATATCCCTAAACAAGACCTGGGTAGTATTTCTGGAACTTTCCTGGAGATGGTCATTAAGGAGATCCAAGATACAGTAGACTCTCTGGCATGCTTTGTTGGGGTCCTGCTGCCACAAAGCTGCCACAATTTGGGCTCGGCTTATCAGTTCTTCCATTTCCACCCAATCTTTGGTCATGCCAAGATGTTCCAAGCGCAACAGCCTCTCTGGCTCCAGAAACTTTTCACCCATAGGAAAGCAGCCATCTTCAGGACTGTATAGAGGTGCGGCATGGCCCCCTGGATGTACAAGTTCTTTAATAGTTTTCAGCTTTTCATTTGGAGTAGTAGGAATGCAAGGAAGCGATTTCAGAAGCTCATTCACACTAGCATCATTCATATCTAGGGCACGAAGGATCAGGGCATCACGATCAGGCACTGCAAGCTTAGTAAGATTGGGCAAAACAAGCTCCCGAAGGAACCGTGCCCAATGATAAGTGTTTAGCACTGAACTGTTTCTTGGGGTGCATGTTTTGAAGCTCATTTTCACCCAGTCTGGAAGAGAAACTGCAACCTGCGGTTCTGGTAAAAGTAATGAGAAGGCCATCGCTGCTATAGAACTCAGTTGCTTCTCATGAATGATATCATCATCCAGGATGCAAACACGATGAAGTGGACACCATTTTTGTCCATCAGAGAAGAGAACTGGCTGCTCCCCATTTACTCCATCGATTAATGCTTGGTAGAAGGCTTTGGCTGCTTCGCTGAAAGGATACTTGATATTGTATATATCAGGCCAAAAATCATAGTACTTGTAGTCCTCCAGCAGTTCTTCTTTGCACATGTCTCGGAGCTGATTTAGTGCCCCAAGCCACGCAGCTGTCACTGAATCTCGTAGGAGTGCTGTATTCCACTGGCCCTTTTCTGTAGCATCCCAGAGTCCTTTGCGATTACTAAGCACAGCGAAGGGTGCTGTGAGATGCAATGGGAGGCCTGATTCAATGGGAAGAGGTAAGGAGCAAAAGACCCGGCCTTTAAAACCATGTATATCTGGGCGCCATCGTCCAACGGTGGTACTGGGGCGGAGCGGCAGGGCTACGCTAGCTGAAGGAGGCATGAAATGGACCCCTCTTTTTCTTCCCTTTCTGAACAGCATCTTGGCTTCTCCATTAGCTGAGCATGAATGTAGCAGGAAATGGTGAGTCACCACAGCTGACTCCCACATTGCTGTCAATCGAATAAGGGGAAAACCCGCCTCATTCAGCCCTTCTCTGTTTACTGTGGCCAGTGGCTGGGCACTTTCTGGAGAATTAGAACCCCTTGAGAGGTGGGACAGTGATAGCTCCTGCACATTGTGTAGGAAAATCAGCAGGTATTGGTATATCTCCTGGAAAGCAGTTTCCAGTCCTTTGATTCGGCTGGGTCCAAATGGCTCAGAGCAGATCAGAGATTCTTTTGCCTCCTGTTCGGTGCGGAAAGGCAAACGAATCAGAGTGCCTTGGTAGTTCTCCCCAACCTGACATCCAAAGATCCCTCTGAACGGCCAAAATTGCTCTGGAAAGGCAGTGGCGACCTTGGAGGTCAAACTCAAACGGATGCCTGGTCGGGCTGAGCCACGGATATGCTTTTGGAGATGAGTGATATTGGGATCAAAGATGAGGATGGTGTGACCACTGAGAAGGAAGGGCACATCAGTCATATGGTAGACAGTGCAGAAACCTAGGCCAAAGCGACCAATTTTGTTCTCCTGGTGCTCCTTGGTGGCTGCACCTAGTTGGGTGATGTTGGAGAAATCTGCCTCGGTAAACAGTGCATCATTCTGGGCCCAAAGGGCTGGCCCTTGGCAGGCAGCCATGCCAGGATCCAGAAGTCCTTCAGTAGTATCATGCTGCCGGAGGTCTATTAAGAAGCGGCAGGTCTGAGCACTAGCGTCCTCGGCATTCTGCAGCAATTCCAGAAACACATCGCCATCCTGGCTGTATTCACGAAGGATGTTACGGATCCGGAGAGTGATGGGCTCTGACGGTCCCCAAGCCTCAAACAGTTCTAGGCCCGACAGCCTGGCACTCAGCATCTCCACCCCAAGGCAAGCAGCTGTGGCAGAAGAAACAGCTTCATGCACCAAAATGGGTAGGTCTCCACCCAGATCAGTAAGACGGGAATGATCCATGTCACAATACAGTGCTGAACTGG